TGTCTGCAGTGTTCTGCGTGAAAATTTCTGAAGTCTTTTTATAGATTTTAAGGTTAGCTTTTGCTTGTCTGTATATATGTGCTTGGTGTATATATGTTTCTTGGTCAAAGCTTCTATTACTGCCTTGGGATATATAGAATCGAAACCCTTCTCGAACTCTATGAAGGTTAAAGTTAGCGGTATTTCGTATTCTTTAGCTCTACTTATTAGTTCTCAAAGCGTATGGATATAATTCAATATACTGAATCCACTTCTGAAGCCAGCTTGCTCTCTTGGTTGTTGAACACTGAATTGAGAAATTGATATGTGACAACAGCGTGAGCTAAATGAATAACGCACTTCAGTATACAGACAAATAGTATAAACGGTGTACCCCCTATAAGAATGCATGATTTTCTCATCAAAAGAATAAGCGGTGCTTATCTGTACAGCAGGTTTATGGTTTTTCTGTTTGATTTTTAGCTGTGGTGGTAAAAGGTTAAAAATAAATAAACTTTGAGGGTATACAAGGCAACTATCGAACACGGTGATTAATTTAATCTTGCCCAAGTACTTTCAATCAATAGATCATCTTCAGGGGCATTTCGTCAGTTGTGGCCTATCCGACATAGTAGAATGTCATAAATGTAAAATTTGGACATAACAATACAAAATACATACACTAAGACAAACAAACACTTTAAAATTTATAAGGAGAAGCTACATGTTGTATAGAAGCCGGAGACAGAAAATCAAGAAGAAGAAGAATCTTAATTATTTATTTTTAATATAAGGTTGAATGTTCGAATAATTAAACTTTGAGGGTATACAAGGCAACTATCGAACACGGTGATTAATTTAATCTTGCCCAAGTACTTTCGATCAATAGATCATCTTCAGGGGCATTTCGTCAGTTGTGGCCTATCCGACATAGTAGAATGTCATAAATGTAAAATTTGGACATAACAATACAAAATACAATACACTAAGACAAACAAACACTTTAAAATTTATAAAGGAGAAGCTACATGTTGTATAGAAGCCGGAGACAGAAAGATTCTGTCTCCGGCTTCTATACAACATGTAGCTTCTCCTTATAAAATTTTAAAGTGTTTGTTTGTCTTAGTGTATTGTATTTTGTATTGTTATGTCCAAATTTTACATTTATGACATTCTACTATGTCGGATAGGCCACAACTGACGAAATGCCCCTGAAGATGATCTATTGATCGAAAGTACTTGGGCAAGATTAAATTAATCACCGTGTTCGATAGTTGCCTTGTATACCCTCAAAGTTTAATTATTCGAACATTCAACCTTATATTAAAAATAAATAATTAAGATTCTTCTTCTTCTTGATATTCCTATCCGTTACGAATGTTGGGGATCATCATGGCCTATCATCTCTATATTTTTTGCAGCAGCGCAGAAAAAACTGCACAGATGTTGTATTGAACCAGATTCTGAGGTTCTGTAACCAAGATGTTCTTCTTCTTCCTGGACCTCGTTTTCCAAATATTTTTCTTTGCAGGATGGCTTGAAAGAGAACATATCTGAATTCATTTCGCATAATATCCAATTCCAAAGAACTTTAACAGCAAATTGTAGGATACGCTGATAGCGTACAGCCCCAAGAGACAAAAGAGACAATAGAGAATATATAGTGAGACATAATGACATAGCTTAAAAGTTAAAATGTCTCGGGCGTGTACTAAGACGAGAAAAAGATAAATTAATAAAAAAAATAATAAAGTGCGAACCTACAAATACAAGATCTAGAGGGAGACCAAAGTGCAGAAAGGAAGATTAGGTCAGAAAAGAGATCAATAGAATGAAGATACCTAACTGGAGAACAAAAATAGAAACTGGAAAGAAATCAAACTTGATCACCAATCGGGCGAAATCACATAGCAACTTGTGAAGGGAAACGGCAAGAACAAAAAAAACAAAAAAAAAGGCGGAGTGATTTCTTACGAAAAATGGATCAGAAGAGATGATATTAATGAGCAACTTATACTCCTGACCAGTACTGACGCCCGTATATAGGATGGAGAACAAATATATTGTTTATAAAAGCAATTAAAATTACGCTGATGATCAGAGCAAACCATATAAATAAGAAGTTTACTTCCAAAAATCTATTTGATTAACAATTAACAGATTCAATAATAAAACAATTTCCTCTTGACACAAAATTCAACCTTGGTCGTGTTTTTATCGCTTTGGTATATATAACAATTATTACTCACGTGATTCTAATGGTTCAACATTCCCGCCATAAATATAACGACAAAAATAAAAATAAATAGCATTACAAATCCGTGGAGGTTCCATGAAACACGTTGTAAATAATCTTTTGTCTGAAGTCACATTACATTACATCAGCGTGGCAAATATTTGTTACATTCCCTTGGAACATTGTTTATTTGTGTTTAGTCAGGTAGCTGCAGTGTTTTTATGATGTACAAATATGTCTTGTACGTTATTTTAAATTCCTCGTAAATTATTTACCAACTTATAACTTTCTAGAGGCAACTACCAAATTGCAAAAAATGCAAAAATTATCGAAATCACGGCAAAATTTTTCGCAGGTATCTGAAGCTTTTAAGACATAGGTGGGTGTTACTAGATGACGAATGGGTGAAAAGGTACTCGTATTTTCACCTTGCGTTTTTTTAAACAATAATTTATGGTCAACAGTTTTTGTCTATAAGTTTTTTTCCCTTATATTTAAACTTAAACTTAAACTTAAAACAATATTTATATAATTTTTTATATCAATAATATCTTTATTTTACCGTTTTTTTCCATTAAAATTGATAAATCATTTACGGAAATGTTTGCAAAAAAGCAGGTTTGTTTGCACTAATTTATAAATTTTATTAATTTTTTTATTAACAAAATAAAATGTTATTAACATGTTTAAACATCGAGGAATTACCGTCTTTTAAATTTGAACGAAATTTCCCCCCGATCGGTCAAATAGTTTAAAGGTATTTAATTTATTTTTCCCTGAGGCTAAATATTTAAACTACATATTCAACTTGCCTTATTAATGATGCTAGACACATTTAGCAAATTTCGTAGGATTCTTTAAGATTTAAAACTATCTCAGAAGTTAAATGCATATTGCGTTTTCATCGAAATTATTTACAAAATAAACGTTTGAAAAAGGGATATGTTTTTTACTTATAAACAATTGTAATTCGACCTTCTGGAAAAAAATTATTGATGAGAAAAAAACGTTGACGAAACGGACATCAGCACTGTGCAGAACTAATGCCAAAAGGTTTGTGCACAATTGGTTAAAGGCAAGTTGGTTCAGTGTCCAGTGAAGAAAGTGGAGTCAACACTTTTACCAACGCTTGTGTTCCTACAGCTTAAAGGAAAAATAGAGGGTAGGGAAGCGTACGAAGAACACGCGTTTCCTGGTTAAAGAAACTGAGAGAGTGGTTTGGTTGCAGCTCAAAGCAATTGTTCAGAGCAGCTGCCTCGAAGGTCAGAATAGCCATGATGATTGCAAACCTCCGTCGCGGATATGGCACTCAAAGAAGAAGATTAAATTAATTTCATATTCTCTGTTTATTTTATCGGTCGTTAATGGGTTATTACTATAAAAAGAATAAACCTCAATTTTTTTTTACTTAAATTAAAACTATTTTAAAGTTAATAGTAAAAGTCTATTTAATAAATATTCCCAAAAAATAGAACACACTATGCCTATGGACATATAAAAACGTGGAACAAATAAACTAAAATATTATATTTCTCTTATTCCCAATCTTACTAATAACGTAAATATATATAGACCAGAGAAATGTTGATAAGTTTACCGATGCTTCAAACAATTCAAAGAACTTGCCAAACTATACGCTCGTGAATCGCACCAATTTGTATTTTTTACAGGAGCAAATTTTATGGGATCATCTTAGTTTTTCACTTATTTACATGGGCGAAGCATACACAATAAAAATGACCCCGGTATGAATTTACTTCTGAGATTTAGCATGGTTGCCGTTAGTACTTCGTTCAATTTGTAGATTAGTCACCTTTAATTGCAAATTGTCGGGCTAGAGAAACAATTCGAGACTATAATTACATTTGATTTGTCCAAAGACTGTTAAAAAATCGATCCAAAGTGTGATTCATCTGAAAACTATCTCCTTTGCAATTTATTTGACTGTCATTATATTTTGTGGATTTAAAAATTTCATTTTTTAGGTATTTAAACTCTAAATACGACATTTCTTATTTAACTGTAAAATTTTATGATCTATATACCAATAAATCTTATTCAAGTGTGAAGATTATCTGTTTATTAGTGCTATTATCAACGTAACTGTTTTAAACACCTAAAATATTAAGTTTTTCCGAAAGGCAGGTAATTAAGAAGTGTATTATAGACCATAAAAATAACTAACATTGTTAGAACTGTTCAAATACTGAGTCAATGAAAAAAGACTAATAATTTAATATCACTCAGTGAAGACGAAGTATAAGTTTATTTGCTACGACAAAAAACGTAAGAGATCTTTATCAAAGATGCTTGTTTACATCTGGAACAAAAATACGAAACCAGATATAAATGACCAGTATCGATGCATTTTAAACTTATTTTTAAACGGCATGTTACTTTATAATAATTTTATTTAGACGTTTTGATTTCTATTTCGGACATAAACCATATCAGCAAGGTGTTACAAGCATCTCTCGTACCGGGATAATCTTGGTATGACTTGACTGGCTGAACGCCGAAATCATTTTCAAGTTAAATTTAATCTTCTTTGTTAAGTGCCGTCTCCCAATCGTAGGTTAACTATCATCATCACTATCTTTACTTTATAGTCGGTTCGCTATATTTACGCGGGTTTCGGATTAAAAATTTTATTGTAAGTACCCAGTTTTAATTACCTGGGTATTTAAAAAGTAAAAACCTAAGGTATTTAAAAGTAAAAAAATTTAAGTAAAAAAAATTGTTATAAATTTTTAAAACATTAAAACTTCATTTTGTTTTGTTTTAGGAATATACTTTTGACAACCCAGTATTTATTTCTTCTCCAGACGATGTAGACCAGAAATCCAATGGAAAAATTCAAGACGTTGAGGTAATAATAACGCATTAAAGGTACATTAGTCAGATAAATCGATAATTAAAAATAGAAATTTTATTATTTCATATATGATATATATTCGTTAATTTTAGGAGAACGATAACTCACCACAGAGATCTCAATGGGGCAACGACATCGAATTCCTCATGTCCTGCGTGGCGATGTCGGTTGGACTAGGAAACGTTTGGAGATTTCCCTTTATAGCAAGCTCAAATGGAGGAGGAGCTTTCCTTATACCATACCTTATTGTCTTAACTGTAGTAGGAAGACCGATGTACTACATGGAGATGGTGCTAGGTCAGTTTTGCAGCGGAGGTCCTGGAAAGATGTATTCCAAGTTGTCACCAGTGCTAAAGGGTATCTTATTTTAATATTTAAATTATGATGCGTAAAGTGTACAAAATATCAGGAAGCTACGCTCAGTTCAGCTTCTCCCAAAAAACCCAAAACTAAACCTATAACAAAACTCTTCTTTCTATGGCGACTTGCGTTTTGACATTTCTCTTTGTTTCAACTTGTCTTGGATTGAATGGGTTTATTTTTTCTAATTCATGCTCCTTAATTGATTCAAACAAGGTAAAAGGTCCGTCTTATCGATCGATAGCCTGTGACTATGAGACAAGAAACCTTTTCAGGGTGAATCATTTCCCAAGGGATGCTTACATATGGAGAATGTTTAGTAGAAAAGATCAACTTAAAACTGTGCCTGAATTACGAGCAACTAAAAATTCAGTACTCTGAAGCAAATCTATGCTCCAGAATATGTTTCAAAATATGTCTAATCCACAATGGAGTTGGAACGTCTATAATTATGATCTCGATAGCTTAATACTTTTCGGTACTGTATGTTTTGGTATACACTGTATATACAGCATCATTAATATTTTGATAACATGAGATTTTTTCTAAAAAGGCAATTTATACAGGCCAATACGGAAGACCAAACAATCAAAACTAACGTGCCAATAATATTAGATTAGCCACAAACAACGAGAGAAGCCTTACGACAGAAAATAAAAGAAATACAACTTAAATACAAAACCCTTAAAAAAGAAATAAAGAGTTATAAAACCAAGTCGCAAACGTCATCAAGAAGAAACGAATCGAAGTAGAATTATAGAAGAAAACAGAAAGCCTTGAATAGAGAGAAATAAGCAGAACCCAAATATCATAAGTATAAGAACAGGGAGAATATTATAGTGACCTCTAGAGCTCTAAAAACTAGTCCACCTGATACAACTCGACAAACTCCTGACAAAAGAAGGAATATTGAAAGTAAATACTCTGGAGAAATAGTACCCCCACTATAACCGGAGTAAAGAAAATAGAAAACGCTAATTAGAGATATTCAAAGAATAGAGTGGCACCGAGGAGATGATGGAAATTCTAATTGAAATGGTAAAAAGAAGGAGGGGGGAAAAGATAAAATAGACGCTACCGCAATAAAGATACTTTTCAATAAATGTTTGTTTGCCAAGGATACAAAATACCGGCAAGAGTGGAACAATGGCATATACAATATCTGATAATATAAGAAAGGAAATTAGATCAAAATTAGCTAACTACTAGCATCCAATATCACTCTTGTCACAATACTCCTCTACAACTTTCCGCTGAAGGTGATCACAACTTAGATCTAAACACAACAAATTTGATGCATACCAACCACAGTAGAGACTAGGATCAATTTAATGACTCGGAAATAATTTAAAATACATCTAAGCTTCCGCGATTGAAGTACCCTGATAGCAACAACTAGGGAAACAAACTACGAAAAAGTGTGGTATTTCAGAGACCTAGAGAAAAAAAACATCTTCTGTTTGAGAGATAAGAAAGGACTAAATGAAGTAAATCTAAAGAAAAATAAAATAATGAGACTATATAGAGAGACCGGTCGGCAAACAAACATATAGGTAACACGTCCGAAGAGATAATCGTCTTTACTTAGAGCCAAGCTATCAGAGCGGCAAAAGTAACCAGACAAAAAAAATAACCATAAGATGAATAAGAATGGGGTGGGCCGCATTCGGAAAACTCTCATATACTATCAAAAACCAAAAAATACCTTTAAAATTAAGAACGAATGTATTTAATGCATGCGTCCTACCTGTTCTGACATATGGTGCCCAGACGTGGACGTGTACCAAAAGCAACTAAGTGAGAGCGCCCACCAAAGTGGCGTGGCACTAGCAAGTGGCAAGTAGCACGCGTCTAGCATGTTTCTTAAAATGTAACAAACGAGAACGAATGATTCAGCGTACACCCAAATGACAGTGACCTCATTCATTCTAATCATTCGTTTTCATTGGTTACATTTTAAGAAACATGCTAGACGCGTGCTACTTGCTACGTGCTACTTGCCACGCCACTTTGGTGGGCGCTCGCCCTTAGACAGAATAAAGAAAACTCAAAGAGCTATGGAAAGACAAATGTTGGGAATATCGTTGAGAGATAAAAAGAGGAACGAGTGGATAATATGCAAAACCGAAACAACAGACGCTGTCGAACATGCATTCCAATTAAAATAGGAATGGGCTGGGCGTAACGAAAGATATCAGGATGGAAGATGGAATAAAGAAAATGGCCGCTGGAGACCATATACTGCAAAAAGGTCAAGAGGTCGACTGCAAATGAGATGGAAAGATGACATTGAGCAAAGCGCAGGTCCAATGTGGAAAAGACAAACAGAAGACATAGACAAATGGAGACAAATGGGAGAGGCCTATATTCAACTCATGAATAGATTTTGGCCTATAGATAGATAGATACGAAGACATTAAGGACAAAGAAGATTTACTTCAGAATAGCACATATGAAATGAAATTCGGTTGGACAGAGATAACCAGATATGTGACCTCCTACGTCGCATAGGATATTAGGATACTAATCAAAAACATCTATCAGAACGCTACATCAAGTATACGATTGCACGAAGACACAGAAAAATTCAGCTTAGGACGAGGAGTTAGACAAGGAGACAATATTTCACCAAAATTGTTCACGGCAGCTCTAGAGTCAATATTTAAGGGTACTCAATGGCAAGATATGGGCATCAATATAGATGGAGAAAGATTAAATCACCTAAGGTTTGCAGATGATGTTGTATTAATCGCAGATAACTTACATGATACAGTTACTATGATGCATTCGCTTAAAAGTCTGTCTGAAAGAGCAGGATTAAAGATAAACTTTGAGAAAACTAAAATTATAACAAATCTCGTAATGAGTGGAAATATAACTATTGACAATAATACCATACAACAAACAGACACTTACAAATATCTGGGACACGAAATCAAAATAAGCAGAGACAATCAAACACATGAAATACAGAGGCGAATAGGTCTAACATGGGCAGCATTTGGCAAATTAAGCCATATTCTAAAAAGTTCAATTCCCATGTGTCTCAAGCGAAAGGTTATAACCAATGTGTTTTACCTGTACAAACTTATGGAGCAGAGACTTTAACACTCACGCAAAAATCTGCGAATAAACTTAGAGTTACACAACGAGCCATGGAACGTGCAATGCTGAACGTGAGCCTTCGAGACCACATAACAAACCAACAAATCAGACGAAGATCAGGAGTTCAAGACGTCATCGAAAGAACCACGACGCTTAAGTGGAACTGGGCAGGGCACTTAGCCAGAACACAAGATGGACGGTGGACAAGACGTATTATGGAATGGAGGCCCAGAAATTATAAAAGAAGCCGAGGACGACCACCGACTAGATGGACCGATGACATTAAACGTGTAGCGGGAAACTGGCTACAAGCGGCCCAGTGTAGAGAACACTGGAAAGAATTGAGGGAGGCCTATGTCCAGCAGTGGACGCGATTGGCTGATTGATGATGATGACGTCGCATAGAATTAGCCTGGGTAGCGTTTGGTAAATTAAACTATGAATTTAAATCAGACCTACCTATATACCTCAAAGGGAAAATCTATGACCAATGTGTATTACCTGTACTCACTTAAGAAGCGGAAACATTCACAGTCACAAAAAAGGTAGTGATTCGCGTGTCTCAGAGGGCCATGAAATTTAAAAGAGTGGTTTGGCTGTACCACTAATGAATTATTTAAAACAGCAGTTAACAAAATTAGAATCGCCATAATGATATCCAATCTCCGATAGGAGAGGCACTCAAAGAAGAAGAAGAGGGCCATGGAGCACCAGTTGTTAAGTGCCTCTCTGAGAGACCAAATCCCAAACGAAGAAATACGTCGTAAAACAAAAACAACAGACGCTATCAAAAAAATTGCGTCGCTAAGATGGAATTGTGCAGGACACGTCACCAAATTATCAGACAACTGATCTACAAAACATATTGTCGTGTGGAGACCAAAACAATAAGCACTACGGAGCAGAGTGACGTTGGTGGTCCATCTAGTTGGTGAGACTGACGACCTGAAGTGTGTTAGCAATAACTGGATGCAAGCCGCACAAGACAGATAGGTACAGATCGAAAGAGCTCTATGTCCAGCAGTAGACGCATACATGTTGATGATGATGATGAAAACCTATGATATTTTTGCCATTTTAATCATCTTTTTACTTTTTAGGTATTGGAATTGGACAAGTCTTTGGTGCAACATGTATAGCATCATACTATTGTATCCTCATGGCTATAACCTTAATTTACCTAGTCAATTCCTTCACCAACAATTTCCCATGGGCCACTTGCTGGAAATCATGGGAAGAATACCTGAATGAAAGGAATTTTACATGTGTGGATAAAGATTCCGTCAATTTTTCTAGCAATAATACCATAAGTTCGGCAGAAATGTTCTTCAGGTAATTGTTTTTCATAAAATGTGTTTGTTTTAAGCGTTAACACTCTACGAGTAGAAGCAGAACATCTCCAGATCCTGTCTGGCGATCAACGCTTTTTAATCTCATTTATTCATTCATTTTTGACTTAAAATATTCAGTACAAAGCACTGTACAGTCCTTCATTTTAAATTTTAATGAAAATATCATAAAAACAAGTTCAACCTAATGTGCCCAACCTTCAAATCGTTCTTATCAAAACTAATTGGTGGTGAATCATAGTATTGGGTATTATTTGTAGTTGGAACTGACGAATCGGATGATCTGTGGGCAGTGCTTAGGAATCAGGACAATAAAACCACCTTTTTTAAACTTGCTAATTGAACTTTTAGTATTTACAGTGACAAAAACATTAATACCTTCAATTTTTGTGAATAAATTGGTCGGTATTTTGATACCGATATAAGTAAAGTCTATTCTTCTTAATTTTATTTATTAATAATGAAAGTATGGAATTGTGTCCATTTAAACATATAATAAACATATGGCGTTGTTGTCAAATCAATATCTGCGATGTGCAAAAATTGTAACTTTGACATACTTAAATAAAAACGTTCTATAAAATTTATATGATGTAGATTCGTGTTACGCTACGAAGGTCAGGCGATAGCAAAGGAAAAGAACAAGATCAGACAACAAATATTAACAGATAATAGAGAGTGTACAAAACAAGAATATAGAATAATTCGAGGAAGATTGAAAGCTCTGTGTAGAAGGAAAAAGAGATACCACAATGAGTTGAAATTAAAAGAGATAGAAGAGAAGTTTAAAAACAAAAAGGTGAGGTCGTTCTATCAAGAAGTTAAAAAGATAGGAAAAGGTTACCAGAGCCACTGTAGTTATATAAAAGGTAAAGACGGAAATTTAAATAGCGATCCGGCAGAAATAATGACGGAATGGAAAAAACATTTTGACAAGAAACAACAAAGAATTATTAAATGGTGAGGTGGACCACGAAGCAGTAGACAACTGGACGGTTGGAGAAGATGCGATAGTTGAAAGGCAGCCTACAGAGGAGGAGGTGGTGACAGCAATACAAGAAATCAAAAATAACAGAAGTCCTGGTAAAAATGACATATGCATAGAAATGATCAAGTTTGGTGGAGAACAACTACAAAGAAAAATATATCAGCTACTAGTGCAAGTATGGGAAAAGGAAATATTGCCATCGGAGTGGTATGAGGCCCACATATGCCCTCTGCATAAAAAAGGAGACAAACTGAAGTGTGACAACTATAGAGGTATAGCCACAGTATAGTGCTTTAAAAAGAATTTCTCTTAAAGCACTATACTGTGGTATAGCCTTACTAGACACGGTATACAAAATCTTCGCTAGAATATTGAGAAATAAACTAAATTGCTACACGGAATGAATCCTACATGAATATCAGGCTGGCTTTAGAAAGGACAGATCTACTGTAGACCAAATCTTCTCATTAAAGGAGATACAAACGACTTGTTATGAAGGTAAAGTTTCCCTGCATGTTTTGTTTGTGGACTTTAGACAAGCATGTGATAGAATCAAAATGTATCGAGCAATTGGGTATACCAAAGAAACTAATCCGGCTAGTTAAAATGACAATAAATAATGTGAAATTGCTTGGCAGGGTCATATATCAGATCAATTTCCGGTTGCAAAAGGCTTGGGACAGGGAGATCCTTTATCCACAACATTATTTAACTTGGTGTTAGAAAGTGTAATCAGAAAATGCAGCATGAAGGTGGAAGAAACGATCATAAAAAATTAGCACCAGCGCTTGGTATTTGCTGACGATCTAACGATCCTAGCAAAACCGAGAAAGAATTAAGAAGAGTTGTGAAGAAAATCATCGAAGAAGCACAGAAATTCGGATTGGAACTAAATGAAGACAAAACTAAATATACGATCATGGGAGGGACAGAAGGGAAAAAAGAAGACTTTAGTGTGAGGTCTGTAAGTGGTAAAAGCTATAGTTTTAAAAAAATGGACAAATTTGAATACCTTGGTGTAGTTTTCGATGAAAATGGAAAAGAGAAGTGGGAGCTCGAAGCAAGAATAGCAAAAGGGAATAAAAAATTAATTAGTTTAAGAGACCAAAAAATTAATTAGACAAGGTAAACTCAGAATATATAAAACAGTAATTCGAGCCACAGTAACATATGCCAGTGGGACATGGACATTAAATAAGAAGGAAGAGGATACTCTTGAAAGATGGGAAAGAAAAATATTGAGACGCATATTCGGAGAACGAGAGACAGAAGATGGTTGGGAGAGAAGAACCAACAATGAATTAATGCCTTTATACAAAGAACCTACCATTACCAAGTTCGTCAAGGCACAAAAAATCAGATGGTTGGGACATGTGAAAAGAATGTCAGCAAACAGAATACCTAAACTAGTAATAACCAGAAAATTAATCGGCCCCAAAAGAAGAGGTAGACCCAGAACGAGGTGGATTAGTAAAGTGGAGGAAGACCGTAAACACGTGAAGGTAAGGAACTGGAAAAGAAAAGCACAAAATCGAAGCGAATGGAGAAATATTATACACCAGGTCCTTCAGAGTAGTTAAGAGTGTTGTATATACATACTTAAGTTAAAGTTTTTGTTTAAAATAATTGTAATTAGGTAATATTAGGATTATGTTGTAAAAAAATGCCCTAGGCCTTAACGGCCTGTTGTGCGTTAAAATAAAATAATTATTATAAATCTAATTTATTGTCTTTAAAACTAACTGTTTACAATAAATTTTTCTCTTTATATATAAAACACTGTTAATCTGGGATCCCGGCGACCCCTCTCGAATAGGATGCCAGACAGGTTTTTGGCAGAGCGGAAAACTTCTAGAAAATACTTAGAATAGATTAGAATTAGAAATAACATGTTTACAGTTTTATGAGTCACATTTATCGTAACAATACCAAAAAATTGCTTCAAATAATTTTAGAAGAGAAGTTTTAAAAGAAAAAGACAACATCAGTGACGGACTTGGTGCTCCAGATTGGAAACTAACTCTCTTCCTACTAGTATCATGGTTTGCTACATTTTTGGTGTCGATAAAAGGTGTAAAAAGCTCCGGTAAAGCATCCTACTTCTTGGCGATTTTCCCTATATTGTAATGATAGTTCTTTTAATAAGAGCTTCAACTCTGCCAGGAGCTGCAGAGGGAATGAAATATTTTGTGTATGCTGATTTTTCAAGACTTAAAGACGCAGAGGTAAGTAATGTGGTGATTTTAATAAATAAATAATAAAAGTGTATAACTTAATTGTAGTTGCACGTAATGAAAAAATGTACAAATGTACAACAAAATCTCGTAGGGTCTATATTATTACATAAGGACAATAGGTGATATTTAGAGTCCTGGCACACTAAGCAGCCATATAGAATCCCGCGCCTTATGTGATTATGAGTTCTTTTCTAATAATTTCGCTCAGCCAGGAATAGATAGAAAAATTTCTTGCTCCAGGATTTGCATAGATTGGGAGTTCCCGAGACTACTTACAACATTAATCTTATCAGTTCGGGTCCAAAAAATATAAATAAAATTCGGACCTCCTTAATTGATTTGTCGGAGTGTCTGACTAAATTGAAGATTCTCTTTTTTTCAACCCCCCTCCCCCCCTCCCCGAAAGGAGTGTCGTGATGTGGATTGTCCGTCTCCCTAGATCTCTGTCTCCTGTAATTTGATCAATCCATCTTGTTGGGGATCTTCCTCCTCATCTTCGGTTTTCTGCCTTTCCTTGGGTAATAAGTCTTTCTATGTTTTCTATGTCTGCTCTAATAACATGTTTTGTGGTCAGTCCACGGCATTCGTAACATTCGTCATCAATTCAGTAGGGTCTATATTTCTTCTTTTCGCTTATCGTAGGGTCCAAGATTCAGATTTGTATGTCAGTATTGAAAATAGAAAATACCTCCAATATTTAAAAACTAGAGTCTTCAACCAATGTATTCTTCCTGTTCTCTCCTACGGTTCTCAAACTTGGACGTTTACAAAGAAAAACATGGAAAAAATAGCAAAGACTCAAAGAGCCATGGAAAGGCAAATGCTGAACATCAGACTATCAGGCAAGAAAAGAAATACTTGGATCCGCAATAAAACTGATGTATCAAAACAGCTAGCAAAACTTAAGTGGAAGTTCGCTTGACATATCATAAGACAGGAAGACGAAAGATGGAATAAGATGATTATACACTGGAGATCATATAGTTACAAATAAAAAAGAGGAAGGTCACAAATGAGATGATCAGATGACTTGAAGAAACACGCAGGCTAGAAGTGGATACAAACTGCCTACAATAGAGGGACGTGGAAGAAGGAAGAGGATTTCTATGTCCAAAATTGCACAGCAATGGCTGTATAGTAGGGTGGGCCGAAACTGGACTTCAGAAAAAAAACGAATCAAACAGGAACGCAATACCCGTAAAAAGATGCGTATATGTGTAAAAAAATACTTGTGATTTTTTGTTTTATTTTGAAAAAATGTCTTCAGCCCTCTACCAGCCCTTAAGTGACCTTGAAAAATAAATAAATAAATTAGGAACACAATACCGCTCAAAGTTTGTCTTTTACCGTGTATAAATCTTTTGTTTTTTTCTTATTATTTTAAAATGATTTTATCAGCCCTCTACCACCCTCTAACTAAAATAAAATCTCAATTTTCCAACTTTTTCCAAACACAAAATGTAAAATTAACTCCGTATAACTTTAAAGCATAAAAAGTATAATAATATAATATAAAAGTATTTAATACTGATGGTCTTGGTCGTGAAGCCTCGGATACAATCGAACAGTCCCGGCTGAGATGGATCGTCGAGAGTTATGGTACTTGTCGTCGCTTATCTTCTTAGTGCGAAATAAGCTTTCGGGTGAAACGCATGTTTATTGTTTATTTGTTGAAAGCCAAGACGAATAGATTGTGTTTGTTGTATTTGCGTGAATACCTAGCACGACCATAAATATGGCTGCTTTAAAATTAAATATTACAAGAAGTAAAGTAGAATGTCCAATTTTCGGTAACCCAGTCGACTTAAACTGTCATGTTTTACCAACGATAGAACATGTGCTTCGATGTTATTTGTTTATTCGTTATGAACTGAAGTTTACTAAATATTTTGGAAAGGAACCAAGTTTTAATGAAGTTTGTGAAGTGCTTGTGCCAAAAATCAAAAGTATATGGGAATCAGCGTCAATTCCAACCGTGTCAAAGGACCGCATCATGCAATTATTACGTAAATATCATAATAAATATTTAAACCTTATCAGATATCCAAAAAGCAAAAGAAATGTTCAATATGAGTTAAAGATTACCAGCTTCAAAGAGGAAACAAGGGATAAGTTGTTCGACATTGCTGCCTGTAAGTGTGATTTTTCTGCATGCAAGTATTGCAAGTGTGATAAATCAAGAAAAGTACCAAAGCAGGAACAGGAATTTCTTTTGGATCAACGGTCCACTAGAGATATGGCTATAGGAACTGTTGATCGTGAAACAACTAAAAAGTTGAATGTAAGGACGGAGAGACAAACAAAAGAAACAGAACGAGTACACAAATTCAAATCTGAATTTCACAATATTTCTATGCCCAGCTGTTCTACTGAGGTCACTAGGTTATCAACAGACTCTGACAATTCTTCTTCATCTGAAGCCTCACCTAGTGTTGCAAATATTGATTTACCGTCGAAACCATCCTGTAGTCAAATGAGGATAGAGTTGCCCACATTAGGTACCATATGTGACAAATATGGAATTTCTGACAGGTCAGCAGCTGCTGTTGCCACAGCTGTATTAAAAGATGTGGGAATTATTTGCGATAGTGATACCTCAAAAGTAATCGATAAAAATAAAGTTAGAAGAGCTCGTCAAAAGAACAGAAATATCCTTAGTAATGAGTTTCAGTCTACAAATAAACCCATTAAGAGTATTTACTTTGATGGCAGGAAGGACAAAACCTTAGTGCAGGAAAAGAAAGGTGAGAGATATCATAAAAGAACTATTGCAGAAGAACATGTGTCATTGATAGAAGAACCGAATTCTGTTTATTTGGGGCACGTTACCCCCATCTGCAGGCTCAGCCAAGTCAATTGGAAAGGCAATAATAGACTTTCTCATTTCAAATAACTTCTGTTTGGATAATTTAGTGGCGATTGGTTGTGACGGAACCATAGTGAATACTGGACATAAAAATGGAGTTATAACATATATCGAAAATGAACTTAAGCGACCTTTGCAATGGTTTGTGTGTGCCTTACATGCTAATGAGTTGCCATTGAGACATTTATTTCAACGTTTGGATGGAGCTACTACTGGACCTCGTCAATTCTCTGGAGTGATCGGGAAATTATTGGAAAAATGCGAACACCTTCCAATCGTAGATTTTGAAATAATTGAAAGTGATCTCCCAGAACTAACAATACCATCTAAAGAATTAAGCTCAGACCAGTCATATCTGTACGACATATGCCAAGCAATATCAAATGGCAACGTCTATGAAAATTTAGCAAATCGTAGCCCTGGAAAGTTAGCTCATTCCAGATGGCTGACAATGGCAAATAGAGTTCTCCGCCTCTACGTTGGAACCGAACATCCTACATCAAGATTGAAAGATCTTGTTCAATTTATAATTAAAGTCTATGCACCAATGTGGTTTTTTATAAAGCTTAATCCAAGTTGCACACAAGCCAGTTTGCATGTTTTCAAATCCATTACACTATCAAGATATTTAAGAGATGATCTTAAAAATATTATAGATGCAGTTATCCAACGAAACTCCTATTATATTCATCCGGAGAATCTTCTCTTATGTATGTTAACAGATAATCGTCAATGGGTACGAGAATTAGCTTTACGGAGAATTATTAAAGCCAGAAAAGAGAAAAAAGTCGGAATAAGGCAGTTTAAAATACCAGAAATAAACTTTAATGCTGCGGAGTATTTTGAGTTAATAAACTGGAGTGAATGTGAAGTAACGGCCCCACCAATGTTAGCTGACATACCAGATGATGAGCTGAAACAGTTAATTGATAGCTCTATAATTGCAGACTTTGACTTTCCAAAATATCCATGCCACACGCAAGCTGTGGAGAGATGTGTGAAATTGGTTTCGGAATCATCTTTGCTAGTTACAGGGCCAGAACGCAGAGACGGATTTATTCGATCTAAAATAAAATCAAAAGACTTTCTTGTAAATTACGATAACAAAGCACAATTTAAAATTGAATGAACGCATTTTTCTATTGATTTTTATTTCGCATTTTAGTGTGTTTAAAAATAGGATATTTATATTTTTGTTTGTTTTCGGTTTCCAATAAACTTTTAGTTCAGTTCAAATTTTGTTTTATTTCCCAACACCCTATAAAATGTGCAGTAGTTTCCCATATTTACACACAATTTTTCAGAAATAATTGTGAATTTATTATTTTTATTTTTGATTCAAGATCATTATCTGTTGGTAGAGGGTAGAATATCTTATTCTAAATGTATAAAAAAATAACATGAACTCTTTGCATATAATTGAAACTTTTTACAGGTATTGCTAATTAAATTAAATAATTTTGATTTAGGGTTCACTTTAGGGGTGGTAGAGGCTGAAGATGTTTTTTTAAAATCCTAAAAAAAATACAGTGATTATACTTACCAAAAGGCATCTTTTTGGGGGTATTGTGTATTAAAACTAAACAAATAATTTTTTCGGCCCACCCTACTGTATAGATAGATAGATAGATTTCAGTATTGAAAATATTATGCAGTTGATCAATCTTATTTTTAGTATTAGTGAAATTTGAGAGTCCTTCCATATTTTGGCCATCTGGCTAAATCAAATCTACGTTTTCTACCTAGATGCTCCTTTCTGATAAATTTATAAATCAGAAAAGATCATTTTGGGGTACAGCTCTAACTTGTCAGCTTATAGGAGCTATTAACTTCGCAAAAAAGTACATAATGTATCGTAAGTCGACTATTAAAGATTATCTCAACCTCGCGATATCAACTCTAGGAATGAAATTCTTACTTACTGAGGTTATCTACAAAGTAGTCAATTCTAGCAATCTCTTTTATAGTATCAAATAGGAAAATTTGCTACAGGCAGAAAAGACGTTTATTCAATGGGTGCGCACTAACAAAATTGTTTTATGCGCTGAATAAGACATAGGATACGGAACTATACCTAAAGTGTATACAAAAAATTATATGACCGAATTATTTTTTTAATATATTAGTTTATATCCTTAGATAAAGAGTTTATGACGCCTGTTACATACTTAAAACCAAGTCAAGTTCTCTTCTGTCATTATTTAAAATATGTGATACATTCATAAATATTTATTTTAGGTATGGTATGCAGCTGTGACTCAGTGTTTCTTTTCATTAAACGTCGGATTTGGCAACATTATTACCTTGGCGTCATACAACAAGTTCAGTCACAATATTAATCGGTAAGTCACTGATAAAAATTACCTTAGAACTATCGATTCAAGAGACCTCTTAATATTTACTGCTGATGGAATAAACAATTGAATCAGACATATATCGTCTTTAAACCGAAACAATTAACCCATGACTATAAGATTTTGAAATAATTAATGTTTTATATACATACAAAAATTTTAATCCAAATAATGATTTGTACATAATAGAGATTTGATGATTTATATTGACTCAATACAACATCACTTCAGCCCTAATACTTTCATCATCGTCAGTTGACGCTACAGCCTTTTGTGAGCCCTGACCTGCCTCAAAACATTTTTTCGTCCTTCCTTGTCGAGTGTCTATCTTCCCCATCCCCTTACCTCAATCTCCTCTACATCGTCCTGCACCTCCTAATACTTTACTTAAAGATAAAGTTATAAGATAATAAACTATTTTGATTTTAGAGACGCCTTTATAATAACAACTTTGGATACTTTTACGTCCTTGCTGTCAGGTGTCACAATTTTTGGTATCTTGGGTAACTTAGCGTACGAAATGAAAATCTCACCAAGCGAAGTCATTGCTGCTGGTGGTGGTACTGCCTTGGCATTTATATCGTATCCGGACGCTCTTTCCAAATTTACATTTGCACCTTGGGTAAGTCATAAATGAATAAATAAACAGATAACCTTCTTTTTGTTAAAAAAAAATAAATCAGTTGTTTTAAGGTGGTTATTAGAGTAGATAGATAGATCAATCAGTAAAGATCTATAAAATAAGAGGTAGGTACTGTAGTTCGGCAAGAAGAACCGTCACTCGGGGTAAATCCGGACGATTTTCGCGGTTTTTTGACAATAAATCGATTGAAGTAGTTCTAAAAAATTCCAAAAAAATAATTTAAATACTTTAATATCTCCAGCATAAGCCATACGTATGGTTGAAACCGGACATAGCATTACTTTCTATTATAAATCGTATTTGGCCGTGAATAGGGGTTAATTCGGACAGAAAAAGAATAAGATAAAAAAACATTTAAATTTGAGAAAAAATTATGTCGACGTAGCAGCATGAATATAAAACTAAAACAGGATTCCTTAATTCTAAACACATTCTATAAAATTACAAAAAAAACTAACTAGAGAAAAAGACTAACAAAAAATTACAAAAAACTTTGATTCCCCTCAGTTACACTTTCATGTTTTATTTTGAGGATACGTAAAATAGACCCCCATTTTTTCTGATGTTTGCTTTCTAAGAAAATTGACAAGATAAACATTTTTCTTCTTATTAATTACCTCTGTAACATCCCCAACATAATATTTATCTACATTCTTTGGTGAAACTGATTTAACAAGTACAAAAGTATTAATGTCTATAGAACAATCGGTCTCGCCCATTTCAATTTGTTCACTTTAAACCTCAGCCTCTTCTTCAGTCTGCAGCTCTGTTCCACTTTGGTCATCCTCACTACTTGTTCTATATTCTTCAGTTTCCCTTTCTTTTCCGATTAATGGTTGTTCTAAATATCTTATTCTTACCCGTTTACCTGCAGGCACCTGTAATTTTTGTCCCGTGTTTTTAAACGTTCTTGGGTTGTGCCCTGTCTATTTTCATGGAGAAAGTTTTGAAGAGTGTTGGTCCAGTGGTCTTGGTTTTCAGTTTCTGAAGATTCACTAGCTGGTAACTTTTTGATGACGTCGTCTGACTTTAATGGAATAATTTCGCAAGATTTAAAACCAGACGTAATATTATCTTTGATATGAACAATGGCTCCAATGGATTTTTTAAGTAGCCCAGGAAACTCAGACTTGGGAATACATCCTCTATTTTTGGTTTTCAATTCGGTAAGGTATTTCGCCACGACTTTTAAATGGATCAAAAAAAACGACGTCTAGCGGCTGTAACAAATGTGTTGCATTTGGAGGCAGCATCACAAACTGAATGTCATAGTTTTCGTAGTTTACGACATGTTTAGACATATGGCTAGCTAAGTTATCACCTATGATTACTTTTTTTCCCAGCAATTTTTTAAAATAAGGAGAAGAATTTTATCGAACCAGTCTTCGAATGTTGAAGTGTCGAACCAGCCTGACTTTGTTCTATCGTAGACATACCCTTCTGGCCCTCCCTCTACCAATGATGGATATAAGTGTACCGATTTGTACACCACATATGGCGCTAAAAGTACACCTGATCCGTTGATAGCCATCATAACTTGATGTGCTCGAATCCATTATTCTTTCGACCCTTTTTGATCCGCGGCGGCACAACACTTTTATTCTACCCGGGTCGTCAGTTTCCGTCTTACAGACAATGTGAGACGGAAGAACGCCTTCAAGTGTGTTTTTTAAATTGTTAAAATAGTTTAAAACTGTTTTTTGTGTAACATTTGCCCTGAACCGCTTTATTTTGTGCCATACGTTCTGTTAGAACATTATTTCTCCCGGGTCCTATCGATCCCGGGTAGATTGTTCTTAAAAACTTTAATAGTTTGTCCTTTTCTATCAGATAGCTTTTTATTTAGAGTCTTATATCCGAACGGGTCATGGGAAACCCACATTCACAAAATTTTATGATACCTTGTGCTATCATTATTTCTTCTTGTGCACTAAGAGCATTTTGTCCACCTTGTTGAAGTCGATTTGCATTTGAGTCTATCATGCAAGGTGGATTTTGGTACACGACAATATTCAGCAGCTTATCTTAAGGTTTTCATTTTATTCCTAACATTAGAAATAGCTCCCTCAATATTTTCTGACTTGAAAAACTTGACAGTATATGACTTTAATTTGATATGTATGAAACTTTTTTCACAGTACTTTTACACACTAAGAGTCATATTCTGTTTGAAATTCACGACAGATACTGCCAATCGCTCCATGATCTTACTCTACTCTTTTCGTGAAACATGTATTAACTCAGTGTAAACTATAGGTACCTGGTGAAGGAATGTAAGCGAATAATAAATAAAAAAAAAACTAAGCAGTTTATTTTTTGGTATACAATATATATTGTCTTTATTGTTAGCCACACCCAATTAATATGCTTCTGTTTTCAGTTATTTGCTATAACCTTCTTCGTGATGCTTTTCGTTTTGGGACTAGGCAGTTTGCAAGGACTACACGCAAACTTAAACGGTTTGATCAAAGAATATCTTCCTTACACGCCAGATTGGAAGATTGCAGGCTGCTCTTCCATAATACTATTTTTGGTAGGACTTATCTATGTGACGCAGGTAATTTTGAACAACAGTTTTTACTACTCTATATTTTAGGTAAATAGATCATAGAAGATTAGATACGCGTAGGTATTTATAAAAGAAAAAAATATATACAATCTGTTAAAAGATATACAAAAATGCAATTAATGTACAATCTGAAATGTGTAACGTGTAGTAATGTGTACAAGGATGGCGTGAATTCGAAAAAACTTTTTTAGCATTCTATAAAGAATCAAATAATGAAGGATCGGTAAACTTTTTAGTATTTCTCGACGCATTTTCGCCAAAAACTGAAGGATTTTTGTGCCTCTATAATATCATCAGTAAAATCTGGATCCACCATTATATTATCGAAAATAAACAGGAGTTAACGCTGCATCGCTCGCACTATGAGCATTTCCCTCAGGCTCGATTAAATATGCACATTCTGTAAACGGTAAATTATTTGCAGTGTTGTCCCTACTTCTAGCTGATTTTTGACGTGTCTTTCTTCATCGATAATGTGCTTCTCTCTCTCTCTCTCTCTCTCTCTCTCTCTCTCCTCTCTCTTGTCGTTTCCCCATTACTGAGGAGATTTCTTCCAATATTCCTAACAATTTTTCTACATTGGTCTCTATCGTCTGCTGCTCTGAGAGTTTTGCAGAAATTTGATGGGACCATTTAGTTGGTAATCGTCGTCTTGATCTTCTCCCCGGCACGTTTCCAGAAACAATTAATCTCTACTATGGTCACCAGTCTAAACGCAGATAAAGAAACTGAGATTACTAAAGCAGAGTTTATTCATGCAATAAGATCGATATGAATCAATAAAAATCTACTTCTTCAGAACAAATATACAATTATAAATCCAAACACGGTTGTGGTTTTGATCAGATTTCCCCTAAGTTATTAAAACAATGCATCCATGCTCTCGCAGATCCACTGACGGATATTTGTAATGCCTCTTTTCAACAAGGAATATTTCCTAGTATATTTAAACTATCTGTTGTAATCCCTTTATTTAAAAGTGGTGATAAAGGTGACCTTAACAACTTTCTTATCTGTGGTTTCAAAGATAATTGAAACTCTAGTTTATACTAGAATGAACGCATTCCTAAAAAAGCATAGTGTCTTGCATAATTTTCAACATGGTTTTACATCTTCTAAGTCTACAACTACAGCTCTTGCAAATTTCGTCAGCTTAGTGTTGGATGTTTTGGGAAGACGAGAGAAGGCATGTGGTTTATTTCTCGATTTGTCCAAGGCTTTTGACACTTTGGATCATCATCATCAATCAGCCAATCGCGTTTACTGCTGGACATAGGCCTCCTCAGTTCTTTCCAGTGTTCTCTACACTGTGCCGCTTGTAGCCAGTTTCCCGCTACACGTTTAATGTCATCGGTCCATCTAGTCGGTGGTCGTCTTCGGCTTCTTTTATAATTTCTGGGCCTCCATTCCATAATACGTCTTGTCCACCGTCCATCTTGTGTTCTGGCTAAGTGCCCTGCCCAGTTCCACTTAAGCGTCGTTGTTCTTTCGATGACGTCTTGAACTCCTGATCTTCGCCTGATTAGTTGGTTTGTTATGTGGTCTCGAAGGCTCACGTTCAGCATTGCACGTTCCATGGTCGTTGTGTAGCTCTAAGTTTATTCGCAGATTTTTGCGTGAGTGTTAAAAGTCTCTGCTCCATAAGTTTGTACAGGTAAAACACATTGGTTATAACCTTTCGCTTGAGACACATGGGAATTGAACTTTTTAGAATATGGCTTAATTTGCCAAATGCTGCCCATGTTAAACCTATTCGCCTATGTATTTCATGTGTTTGATTGTCTCTGCTTATTTTGATTTCTTGTCCCAGATATTTTTAAGTGTCTGTTTGTTGCATGGTATAATTGTCAATAGTTATATTTCCACTTATTACGAGATTTGTTATAATTTTAGTTTTCTCAAAGTTTATCTTTAATCCTGCTCTTTCAGACAAACTTTTAAGCGAATGCATCATATAAACTGTATCTTGTAATCGCAGATAACTTACAAGATACAAGACTTTGGATCATAATTTGTTGCTAATAAAACTTGAGGGGATTGGTATTCGTGGTGTAGTTCTAAAATGATTTACTTCCTACCTAGAGAATAGAAGACGAAAAGTAAAGATAACATCTAATGAACTTATAAACGAATCAAACACATTTGATATCCATTATGGTATCCCTCAGGGTAGTGTATTGGGTCCTCTACTTTTTATAGTATTTTATTAATTGATATAACTTTGGTAACAAATTCACTGACTGGGTTTACCGTATCAGTTATGCGGATGATACCAACATTCTAGTCACAGGAACGTCTGATCAAAATTTGCAAAATAAAACTACACAGATACTATCCACCATCAACAATTATTTCTTATCCAACAAATTAGTTTTGAATGAAGAGAAATCAAAGTATATGATTTTCACGTCAAATAATTTATTAAACCATCAAGCCACTATAGAAGTAGCAATAAATAAAACAGACTGCACGAAGTTGCTGGGGGTACTTCTAGACAGTAATTGTAAATGGTCAACCCACATTTCTAATTTGAAATCGAGGTTAAGTAGCGCATGTTATGCATTGAGAATTCTTTTACGTCTCTTTCATACATCAATATTAAAAACAGTATACTTTGCCCATTTTTATTCAATAGCCAAATATGGCATCGAAGTCTTGGGTTGTATCTCTGAATTAGAGCAGATATTCGTACTTCAGAAAAGAGCTATTAGGATAATGCATAAAATGAAATTTAGAGATTCTTGTAGAGTAGAGGCATCTTTAGACAAAACAATATTCTTACAATTCCTGGTCTGTATATATTTTCGTGTATAATGTATGCATAGCAAAATTTATAAATTTAATAAATTTCATTTTAACCATATTAATTCAACAAGATTCAGAGACAATCACTTTATGCTTCCACAACATCGTTCTGTTTTGTTGGAAGGTAGCACACATTATGCAGCCATAAGTTTCTTTAACAAATAACTAATAGATATACGAATGAATTTACATCAACCAAACTTTCGGAGGTGTGTTAATCAATACATTTGTGAGCTAGAGTCATATTTTAAAAATAACTTTTTAGTATGTTTTATCATGTTTATTAATTTATATACTTTTAAGATGTATGTCTGTAACTTTGACTTGTCTCATACATGTACATGCGACATTGTATAATGTCGCATGTGATCAATAAATTTGACTTGACTTGATACAGTCGGTATTTGGATTTGCGATTTGATGATGTGAACTTTTTGTGTCAGTCGATATTTTGGCTTTGGCCTGAAACGGGTTTATATAATATTGTCACACCCGCAAATATTGCCAAGACGAAACAGTTAACGACGTTCTGGGAAGTGTGTTCGATTTTAATTCGTAGACAATTCTCTGTAATTTTTTATGTATGAATCTTGTACCTGTAAATAACACCACTACAGTTTGTTTTTGTGTAATAAAAACTCACATGCAGTATTGATCGCGAGCTTTAATTCTAATGTTAGTGCCTTTTCAAATAATAAAGAACTACTACATTAATATTATTAATATTTTTTCTTTCAGGGTGGACAATATGCTTTAGATCTCGTCGATTTCTTCGGTGGAACATTCGTAATATTTGTTTGTGCTATATGCGAAGTTTTCCTAATCGCATACATTTATGGTTAGTAAAAAAATTTCCGATAATCTAAAAGTGTAAAATGTTTAACATAATAACTTTTAGGCGTCGATAGACTGTGCCTTGACATTGAATTTATGAGCAAAAAAAAAGTAGCAATCTATTGGAGGTTAACTTGGGGACTACTGACGCCACTGTTACTAATTCTCATTTTCCTTTATTTTATATGGACATTGAAGCCTATCACTTACGGAATTGATTCTCTTCGTTTACCTCTTGGACTTGAAAGTAAGTAGGTACCTACAGTAGCTACAAGAAATGGGTAGAAGTCTTATATATACTTTCAAACTGCAGTAAATGTTTAATAAACCTTTAATAAATCTTCACTATAGAAAAATGTAATACAAACTGAAAAAATGTTTTCAACCGTTAGATTAGGAAATAAAATTTTAACGTTTTTGAATCATTTAACAAGAGCTTTGACATTGAGTTTAAAAAAGCAAACAATATGAGAATAAAGTCAACTAGTTTTAAAATCTTTAAAAAAATATTCTCAAAAGTCTGGAAACACCGTTTTTCCACTCTTTGCTCTCATATATTTGTTAACCGCTAATTATAGATGTATGGAATTATCCATGTTCTATTTACTTTTTTCTTAGTTTTCGATAATAAGCGTATACCAATATTTTTCTTTCGAATCCTTGCTGTCGGTCCTCTAGGGATATAAGGCTCTATAGTAGAAGCCACAGTTAGAATGCAGTTTTGGTCTTACGGCATTTCTACATTTCTTCGTAGCACTTCTTTTAACACAACATAATCCAAATGGAACTGCAAAGTACTGACAGGAACACCTCTCATTTTCTTCAAAATCGTAATTTTACCCTCCAACCAGAATCTTTCTATCCCTTGCGTATGTGCTCCCGTTTGTGGGACGACATAATTTTCCTGGTGGTTAACGGTTGAGTGCATGTAGCCTAATTGGTGCAAATTGCCGTATTCTGGCCATTCGTCCGAGTGAATTACTGACCAGCCTCAACTTCCCTTTGTATGATGGGAACTAGGGTGGCTGTGTCTCTTCGCTCAACATGAAAATATCGGACCTCCTCTTTAATATTTAATCCGAAGACCCACTCACCTTCAATTCGGCGTCCATGATTCCGATTATTTTCCACTTCAACATCGCTGTCTTCTGATTCTGCTGGATGGTCTCCATTTAACATTCGTCCTCTGTTGTACTTCCTTCTGCCCGCAAATCTGGCTTCATCAATTTGGATTGGGTTTTCTTCTGTACCTCGAAGCTGTCCACAACGATTCACTGATATCACAGAGGAACAGACTTCTCGACACATGTACCAGTCGCATATAGCTGCTCTTCCTCTCCCCGTTAATTTCATTCTTCTTCTTCTTGTTGTGCCGTCTTCTAACGAAGGTTAGTGTGATGTATTGGCAACCCTGCAGTGCGGTTACGTCACAATCAGCTGAGAAAACACTCAGGAAGACAGACGCGACGATGACCTATTTAATGATATTGTTATTTGCATTACGTTTTGGAGTGATCATTAAAGTCGGTAGTATTTCCTATACTGTGTTTATTATTTACAACCGGTCCGATACATATTATTTGGCGACGAGGATGGGATCCGTGTGTGTGCCAGTTTAAGTGCCTTATTTCGTCCCGGTGATAAATAAAGCAAAGTGTGTGCAGGATGGCGGCATTCGGAAACATCGAACAGTTTAACGTGGGTGACTCCAAAGGTTGGGAATCATACGTCGAGCGTATGGATTTTTTCTTCTTGGCAAATAACATTACAGACCCTGATAGGAAAAAAGCTACATTTTTAAGTTTTGTGTGGTCCCAATACATATGAGATTATTAGATCTTTGGTCGCGCCGTCCAAAGTGTCTGATAAAACTTATGACCAAATCATAGTTGAATTAAAAAAGCATTTTTCTCCAAAAACGTCGGAAATTGTGTGCAGGTTTAAGTTCTATCGTCGGAATCAACAGACCGTGAAACAATATCTGTGTATCTGAAGGAATTACGAAAATTGGCAGAACCCTGTGGTTTCGGAGCTAGCCTTGACATAATGCTACGTGACCGACTCGTTTGTGGTATTACCGACGAATCGCTACAGCAAAAGTTGCTAGCCACAGATAAGTTAAAACTTAAGGACGCGCAAGACCTATGCCTTGCACACGAGGTGGCCGTGGAAAGTTTGGCAGTTCTACGAGAAACTGAGTCGAGCGCAGATGTAAACGCGGTAAGTTTTCGTAAAAATCAACCGGGCCAGTTCAAACAATTAGCTAATCGCGAAAGGAAGAAATGTTTTCGGTGCGAAAAAGAACATTCTCCCGAAACTTGTGAACACATTAAATCAACCTGTGCATATTGCAGGAAAGTTGGACACATCGAAATAGCTTGTTTTGCAAAAAAGAAGAACCAAAATTACAAACGCAAAGTACATCAGACTACCGTGGAATCTACGTCCAATACCGAGCCGGTTTCGGGAATACTCAGAGTGTTTTTTATCAAAGTAGTGACTATGAATTTACGTTAAATAACGTGACGTCTGATAGCATTACCGGTAATATTTAGTAGATGTGCTACTCAATGACCAAAAGGTAAAAATGGAGGTTGACTCGGGCGCGAGTTATTCAGTGATAAGCAAATCAACCTACCATGAAATCTTTAGTGAAAATCGACCTAAAATAGATAAATCCAGTGTTATTTTAAGGGACTATCAAAACACAGTGATACCCACACTGGTAAGTGTCAAGTGGAGGTGAAGAGAGGTCCAAGATCGGCGACACTTCCTCTCATAGTCACGGAAGGAAATCGTGCCAGTCTACTCGGCAGAAACTGGTTTGATAGTTTAGGTTTAACCATAGCTGGGGTAAGTCAAATTTTATCAATGATAAATTATACAGAAGAATACCCAGATGTATTTAATACAGATTTGGGGTCTTACCGGGGTCCCCCAGTAAGTTTTTCGTTGGACAAAAATGTAAAGCCGGTTATGTGTAAAGCTCGTAAAGTTCCATTTGCGCTAAAAGATAAAATCGAAGTTGAACTGGACAGGCTTATTGCGAAAGGGGGTTTTAGAGCCGATTACGCACCCAAAATGGTGCACCCCAATTGTGACTGTTTGCAAAGAAAACGGTGAGGTTAGGATTTGTGGTGACTACAAATCCACATTGAATTTAGCGTTAAATCCGGAACCTTATTCAGTGCCATCGGTACAGGGTATCTTATCCACACTTGCGGGCGGTAAAGTTTTTGCAAAACTGGACATGGCGCAAGCTTATCTGCAGTTAAGTGTCAACCGCGAAGCTGCTGAAGCACAAACAATAATTACGCATAAAGGAGCTTTTAAATGCAATCGTTTACAGTTCGGTATATCAGTGGCTCCACAAATTTTTCAAAAATTCATAGACACTCGATTAACGGGTATTCCTGGTGTACTACCTTATTACGATGACATTTTAATAGTTGGTAGCTCAGAAACCGACTTGGATTCAAAAGTGCGCGCGGTATTATCGCGTTTCCAGGAAGACGGACTGCATTTGCGCAAAGAAAAGTGCGTTTTTCGAACAAAAACTATAGAGTTTCTCGGTTTTCAAATTAGTGAAGACGGTTTACGCCCCACTAAAGACAAAATCGCGGCCCTAACTAATGCGCCTGCGCCAACCAATAAAACCGAGTTGCAAGCTTTTCTTGGACTTTTAAATTTTTATCATGTTTTTCTAAAGGACAAAGCAACAATTGCGAATCCGTTACATGCACTGCTCCGAAAAGACGTTCCTGGCAGTGGCGTTTTATAGAACAAAAAGCTTTCGATTTACTAAAAGAAATTTTAGCGAAAGAACCTGTGTTAGGGCATTACAATGAACAAAAAGATTTATTTTTGACGTGTGATGCCAGTCCTTACGGGTAGGTTGTGTGCTTAGTCAACGTGATGATGAAGGACGTGAATATCCAGTGGCGTACCATAGTCGTACTCTATCATCTACTGAACGAAATTTCTCCCAAATCGACAAGGAAGCACTGGCCATAATATCAGGCATTAAAAAATTCCACGAATATGTATATGGCAGAAAAATAGGCATAAGAACGGACCATAAACCATTGTTGGGTATTTTTAATCCGAAAAAGGGTGTTCCAGAGATACTGTCACCCAGAATGCTTAGATGGGCTCTTATGTTATCTGCTTATGATTATGAATTATGTTACGTACCAGGTTCAAAAATTCAGAATGCAGATGCTCTTAGCAGATTGCCACAAAAGGTACATGCGCCAGAACCACCAAGCTCAGATGACGTTTTGATGCTTGAGAACATCCCAGAAAAACTAATCTGTGCCAAAGACATTGCCAATGAGACTAAGAAAGACCCAGTGTTATCTAAAGTTTTGCAGTGGGCTTGGAAAGGTTGGCCTGATGAGAAAATTAAATTTTCAGACGAATATACTCCTTATCTACTACGTAAAAACGAAATTAGCTGTTATCAAGACTGCCTGTTATGGGGTACAAGGGTAATAGTTCCACTAGGAGGGAGGAAAACAATACTGAATTTGCTACACTCAGCACACCCCGGAATCGTAAAAATGAAGTCACTGGCACGCTCATATGTTTGGTGGCAAATCTCGACAAACAAATCGAACAGCTAGTAAATACATGCAGCGAGTGCCAGGAGTCTAGAAACATGCCAAAAAAGGCTCCAATCCATCCGTGGGAGTGGGCCAGAGCTCCATGGACAAGAATACACCTCGATTTTGCTGGTCCATTTAAAGGCAAAATGTTTCTGATTATCATAGACTCGTACTCGAAGTGGCTGGAGGTTAAAATCGTTCCAAATACCTCTAGTGTTGTGACTATAGATGTATTACGTGGTTTATTTGCCACTCACGGCATCCCAGATGTCGTCGTATCTGATAACGGAACTTGTTTTACGTCAGCTGAGTTTCAAGATTTTTTAAAGAAAAACCTTATTAGACAAGCATTGGTTGCACCATACCATCCAAGTAGTAATGGGCAAGCGGAACGCATGGTACAAAATGTAAAAAATGCACTAAAAAAAATGACAGATAGTAATGAAGAAACTAAAATACAGTTAGCATTGCACAGATATCTCCTTACTCAGCACATTACACCCCATTGCACAACAGGGAGATGCCCATCAGAAATATTAATGGGGAGAAAATTGGGCTCATTATTTGATCGTTTACAGCCCGACTTTAGAAAAGAGATGTTATCTAAGCAAGAGATGAACGATTCTTGCAAAACAGTACCCAGATGTTTTCAAGAAAACGACACTGTATTTGCAAGGTCATTTGCTCCAGGTGGTCAAAAGTGGCTTCCTTCCAAAATAATTGAAACCACTGGACCGTTAAGCTACAAAGTTCAAACCCCCGATGTAAAATTTTACGTCGTCATTCTGACCAAATCAGAACCCGTGTGTGTGACCAAGAAATACAGACGAAGTTACACCGTCAACCTCGATGGAAAAAAAATTACTCGTAACTCCGTAACCGTTGTTTCTGCATCCCAACGAATTTGTGGACCAAGAACCAGAAATTGTAGAGCACGCCGCTGAGGTTAAAAAGCCACCTGCTCGAATAAGAAAACCTCCAAGGTATTTGGAGGACTATGATGAGTAGATTCATCCAGGAGGGAGGAGTGTGATGTATTGGCAACCCTGCAGTGCGGTTACGTCACAATCAGCTGAGAAAACACTCAGGAAGACAGACGCGACGATGACCTATTTAATGATATTGTTATTTGCATTACGTTTTGGAGTGATCATTAAAGTCGGTAGTATTTCCTATACTGTGTTTATTATTTACAACCGGTCCGATACATATTAGTTAGCGATCACTTCTTTAAACGCTTCTCGATCTTCTGCAACGTGAAATATCTGTTCAACACTGAGGTTAGTCCAATCTCTGATATTCCTCAGCCAATGATTTCTTCTTTCTTACCAAGCCCTTTCTTCCCTCTACTCAACCTTGCATGATGACTTGTAGTGGAGTATTTATCGTTTCGGAGTATGTGGCCCAGATACGCTGTTTTTCTTATTTTAATTGTGTTCATAAGCTTTCTGCCATGTCCAACTCGTCTTAACACTTCCTCATTTGAGACTTTTGCAGTCCAAGGAATCTTCAAAATACGCCTATATAGCCACATTTCGAATCCCTCCAATTTTTTTATAGGTTGGGCTTTCAGAGTCCAAGCTTCTACCCCATATAGTACTTTCGACCAAACATAACATTTGACGAACTTCAATCTGATGGCCATACTCAATTTCTTATTTGTAAACATTGACTTGTATTTTATAAAGCCTTTTCGAGCTTAATTTCATTGCTGTGTCAAAATCGAGTTCCAAAATTAACATGAATATCAATTCCAAAATTTCACATAAAGTTAACTTGCAGTTAATTTTTCCATTTAAGTCGGTGAAATGAAAAAACGGTTGCCATGCCTAACTGATCTTGTTGTCTGGCATCCTCTCCTTGAGCAGTCATTCCTGCACTACATTTGAACTGTGGCTTCTACTTGTTGAAATATGCTTAAAATATATTCTTAATTATTTGTTTAGTATTTGGTTGGAGTATACTTGCAGTAACTGTTATACAGTTGATGGGATGGTTCTTCTATTACCTCTACGCAAACAGAAAATACCCAGGAATTCAGGTACCAAAAAAAATTTTCTGATTAAAACAGTTTTTGAGTTTTATTTTCTTTTGCAGAAACTCACCGAAACGTTTTCGTTCAAAACATGGGGACCTGAAGGACGACAGCGTACTGAAGAATGGAAGAAATTTTTGGAAGAGAAGAACGCTACACAACAAGGCAAACGCTCGATGATACCCACAAAAATAAAAGCCATATTCCTAGACCCATATAAAAGTTGAGTGACTCGAAATATCAGCAGGATATACACTGAGATGAGCGAAAGATATTGACCCGTTTGAAATTGTGATATATTTTTTTGTTATTTTTATGTTCTAAATTTATATCTGAAAATTGTAATTTGTTGTACTTACCTACCGTATTTTGTACACTAAATTTAATAAAAGCTAAAATTGAATGAAAAAGTATTACAGTGGAGGTGCAATATTTACAATTTTGTTAAGACGGATCACATTTTGCTCGATGTTATTTTTACTTTTGTTCTACTTAGGCAACCATCTTATAAACAATTGTGACTGACTTTGAATGATCACTATAGATGACAGTACTATACCACAGAATAATAAACAAACAGAATACCCACTCTCCACGGAAAATTAAGTACGCGCATCTCCTCCGCGCAGACGTTCCGCCATGTTTTAGGAGGATTTTAAAGAAATTAGTGTTGTTTATGTGGTGTGCATGGAAAAATTAACCAGGTTTATTTGACTTACGACAATCATAGACATACTATACAATTATATTAACATTGTTAAATATAATAACATAAATATAATACAATTAAACATAAATATAAACAATTACATAACCACACAAATCATATGTCTGTGTCCTCCTAAAATATGGCGCGCGTGCTGAAAAACTTCAAAGGCGGCATCTGAGAGTGGCCCTTCTGATTGTTTATTATTCTGTGACTATACCCCATAGAGAAATAACAATAAGTTATTTGTTATTTCTCTATGCTATACCCGGTTCGCTAATCCCAGTCCGAACTGTCTAGTGATTTTAGTAATTATGTTTTTACGAAGTTAGTTACTTTTTGACAGACTAGAAGTGGCTGGAAATTACTATACGACCAAGCACACGTGCTCATAGCGCATTTCATTAAAGTATTTCGTCGACCTCTTTTGCAAACTTATATGACTTAGAAATTTATAGCACGTATAAAGATAGTAAGTTTCTATTATATGTAAAAAATATATTTTATAAAAAAGTTACCGTAATTTAGTTTATATCGTTAGGTTACGCCAAATATAGGCAACCAACTTAAACTTTTTGTTAGCAGTTATGCTGAAGTTTCTTGAGAATATATTTAATTTTATTATTATTTTTTAAAGTGATGATAATAATGTTGAATAAGCCATATTTCAAATGATATATAATCACAAGACGTACTTAATATTGTGTTATATAATATAATCCTCTTAAAGTACGTTAGATAAAAATATAATATTCATATTATAATTAAAAAATATTATGCATCAAAAAGATAATACAATATCATCAAAAATATTATAATATTCTATTATTACTATCATAAACTAGTTTTTTTTTTCTAATTTTAGCTAATTTCTATTATAGACGTATGTACTTTATGAAGATTATATAAAATAATATTAAGTACTTTTGTGATTAAATATCATTTAAAATATTGCTTATTCAGCATTATTATCATGACTTTTAAAAAATAATAAATTAACTGGAAAATATTAAACGTTTATTAAAAATATTCTCAAGAAACTCCAGCTAAATGCCAAACAAGTTTAAGTTGGTTGCCTACATTTGGAGCAACTTAACGGTATAAACTAAATTACTGTAACTTTTTTATAAAATATATTTCTTATATATAATATACATTTTATATATAATAGAAAATTTATACATGCTATATATACATGGATGTTAACTGAAATGTTTTTTGTTATTAAGAATATATTTATAGAACTTCATAAATATATTTTAGTGATCAACCTACGCCGAATGAGCAAATAATTAAAAAAATGGTTGGTGTTTTGAATAAATCTTTGTGCAGGTTGATTACCTTGTAATTTAACAGCATCCTTAATAATCTAAAAATAGTAACTTTTAAAGGACATTTATCATATTTATTTAAGAAAAACTTACCAACGCATTATCTGATAGAACAAATGGAAAACTTTGACTATCCCTAATAATAAAATTCAAAATAGAACTATAACTAAATAAACTAAATAGAACTAACAACAATATTTACTACAACATAATATTAAATTGTATTAACTCAAATAGTATATTTTAAATATACAGGGAAAATTTCATGGGTTTAGTATACACTTCCACTATTTAGAATAATTCTTCTTTTTTTCAAAGAAAGAAGTCTGCAATAGTAGTATACTTGAGCTATTAATACTGAGAAGTAGGAATTGTTGTGTTGTAGGTTTCCGACAATGAGTCTGTCAAAATATGCCCTAGCTAAGCGAATGGAGAATATTAGCTTTTCTGAGTTTATTAGACATATAGGCAACACAATTAACAGACAATGGTGAGTAAATGATTTAAGAGATAGACAATTGAAGGGTATAGGGGGAAAACGATCATAGTCACAAAAAATAAAAAATCCAAAATCCATGCCGTTATCATGGCAGTATGCGAAAATATTAACCTCGAGCTGACATAACACGTAAAAATCAAACACAGTCCGCTGTAGAACCGAATACAAAAACGACATGCAGGGGAAGAATGATCATAGTCCACAGTTCCAACGTAAAAACGATCAGGGTCCGAGTCCGAACAGGTCCCACCGCGCTTATTTGGTTGAGTCAGTCGCTTTGTTTTCGTTGTTGAGAGTGCATCTCACATTGTTTGTTCTCGTGTTTTGTTTATCTAATCAAGTATTCTAAAGTGATACTACGTAGTCGTAGTAGTTATAGTTACCTTAGTTATACCTTTTCTTACAATGAGTTCCAGTGAAGAAAGTGATTCAGACTTGTTAAGCATACCTACCAGTTCTAAAAAGAAGAAAGTGACCGGTAGAGTTCATGATGTCGATACAATATTAAGAAATCGTACTAATGAGTTTGGGTGTGATTGTCATTGCAAACGTCTGAAATGTTTGAAAATGTTAACGATTCAAAGCGTTCTTGGTTGATCAAAACTTAATGAATTGAAAGACAGAAATGAACAAAACTTATTTTTGGCAGGGCTCATTTTTGTGCATGAAATTGAACGAAGACGACTTAGGAATTCTGAAGGAGATGCTAATCTTCATGACTTTTCATATGAATATAAGTTAAGAGTGTTACGTGAAGACAAGCTGCAAGAAATAAAAGTTTGCTTTAAAGTTTTTATGTCGTTTTTGGTGTCACTAACCGACGCATGATAACAATTGAGAAAGCTCTTGTGCAGAAGCTTCTATTGATGGTAATACATAACAAGCGTCCTCGTAAATTACCAGATGACACAAAAAAAGCCTTGATAGATTTTCTTCTCTTAAGGGTAGAAAAGCGCACTATAGTCTTAAGGACTCAAAACGAGTGTACCTACCTGAACATCTAAATATAAAAAAGCTGACGGTTTTATTCTTGAAAAAGTATAGCGATAAGCATTTTGAAATCTCTTACAAAGTATTCTGCAAAATGTTTGTTACAAAATTTAATATTGCCTTTGGCGACCCACGCACCGACAAGTGTGCGTTATGTGATGAGTATAAAGTAAAAGAAAATAGCTTAGAAAAATCGCTAGAAAACGCATCTGCTGAAAATAAGGTTTCATTGGAACAAAAGCTGAGAAAATTACGTACTGAGATAACTTTGCACAAAAAGAAAGCTGACAGTTCTTATAGTCGTAAAAGAGAAGCTAAAAGAATTAGTAGATAAACTGCTAAAACTGTAGCTATTGCCATGGACTTTGGCAGGAACCTACAAATTCCAGATATATCAACAAGTGAGGTATACTTCAGACGCCAATTATTTTTTTGATATAAGGTTGAATGCTCAAATAAATGTGATCAAGAAAAAGGCAAATATCGAGCACAGTTTAATTAATTTAATCTTGCCCAAGTACTTTCGCGCTCACAAGAGCATCTTCAGGAGCATTTCGTCAATTGTGGCCTATCCGAAAGAATAAAATGTTATAAACATAAAATGGTACATCACACTACACTACACAATGACAAACACATTAAAATTATTAAAATAGGCGAAGCTACATTGTATACGGAAGCCGGAGACATCTTTCTGTGTCCGGCCCTGTAAAATGTTAAATAGATTAAGTAGTACCCTGAAACTTTTGCTAGTGTTATCAAAATTTCCATTTTTTCTGGCTTCTTTTAAGAGCTGTAAAGTATCTTCATCACATATGTTGCAAAAATCGGTCAAATTGATTGATTCTGTTGTGGTTTTGCCAAAAAGACATCTTTCTGTCTGACTGTATGAATCTATATGAAACTGAATCCTATAACCATTTTCCTGTCATTTCTTTGATCCGACAGAAAGACTTTGTTATCGATTGGAACTTTTTTGTTTTAAACATGAAAAAGATTCAATAGAAATACATTTACAAGCAGCAACGTCGAAAAGCTTTTCAGCTGACTCTACAAAATATTTCACTTTGTTTTCAAAACTGTTATTTCGTTTGCTTTTGGGGTGTCTTTTCAAACTGAAGTACTTTTCGTTGTCCAAATATTAATAACTTCTTCAGAAACAGTAGCGTATTTTTCTTGGATGGATCATTTCCATTATACTTTAATTTTAGATCGTTCTTCACAAATAAAATACATTTCATAACATCTCTTAATAGTTGGTAGCTGTCGATCGTCAAGTTCTTTGTAAGGTCCCAATATAGAACAAGTAGTCTCACTACGCCTAGAATTCATGATTTAAAACTCTCAAAATCAGCTTTTGACACTAGAACAAACGCAACTGTAATGATGTTGAACGTTGAACGACCACCCCGAGCCACTTTCTCCTACTCGTCTTTCTCCTACCATCAAAGCAGATCTGACGTAACCAAAGTTCATAGAATTCTCTAAACTTTAACGGAACGTATAATACGACTCAGTATTATACAATAGTACAGTACAATCTCAATTTATTTTATGACCATTTTTACAAACTTTGAAGATCGGTACAACCCTTAAAATATATTTTTATTTTATATTTAAAAATACTGTGATAATCTATTGGCAATTACATAATTTTGAAAAAAATAAAGTGTAGTGAGATATTACCATAAAAATAACAATTTTTCAAAACTTTAAAGTTCGGTAGAACCCTAAAGGTATATTGCTATATATTTTTTTTATTATTGTGATAATTGACGAGCAATTACCCCAGTTTCAAGAGGTCTTGTATTAAACAAAAACAAAAAGCGTTTTTTCGGGACACTCTAATGCACATGGCCAACAATATCAAAATCAAATCAACTGAGAACCGCAAAAATGGCTGCCTTCACACGCAGTGCTAGCAACTTGATAAAACAGTTTAGAAAAAAATTATTTGTTCAGTAGAAAATGAAAAATACAACAAATTTATAAATATTTTTATTCTAATAATTAAATCTTCTCCAACAACTTCTGTAACAAAGCATTCTGTATTTTCATCTGTTTAATAACCTCGTTCTGTTGTTCCATCCGCGTTTCCTCCAACTCGAGATTTTGGGTTTCCCTTTGCGCGGCCCCATCCAGATACTGCACTATTTTCGAATGTAATTCGTTAGACTGCCTCAACATTTCCGTGTTAGTCCTATTTTGTTTTGTTATTACTTTTCTAAGTTCCACTAGTTCTTCTACTATTTGCGGGGCACTAGAATCTTGCATAATATAATCCGCGTTCTGAAGAAGTTCTTCGTCTACATTTTGGATGATTTTAATATGAGATTTGTCGCCTACGCTAGTCTCCGTTCCGCTAAAACTAAGTGAAGTAAAATTAGACAACTCATGTCGGCACAATAAAACGATAAAATGTGGTATATCCCTCAACAGATTACATAGCAGAAACAATAATTAGATTAGTAGCATACAGTTCAAACAAGTGCACTAAAACTTATATAAATAATTGATGGATTCGACCGTTACTTGATGGAAATTCATTTTATGTAACAATAAAACACTGAAAACTTTGTTTTCAAACTTCCACAAAATTTATTTTAACTATTATATTTACAGCTGTTTCGGCTGATAGCCTTGAGACTTGAGACTTGAGAAAGGCTATCAGCCGAAACAGCTGTAGTGATAATAGTTAAAATAAATTTTGTGGAAGTTTGTAAACAAAGTTTTCAGTGTTTTATTGTTACTTATATAAATCTTTATGTAGTGTGTACTGGACTCAAACTACAAATTCTGGAAGTGTTTATCTGTCATATTATACTTTAAAAATGGAGAAACCTTAAGAGAAACTACAAAAAATGCTAGAGAGTTTTATCTGAAAGAACTTCGCTGGGAAATGGTTCATATAATGACTCATTATTTTACACATTTATAATTAAATGCTCTATTTGAAATCTTAATTTGATCATAAACATTTTAATTGAATAATGAAAAAATCCACTTTGATAGATTCCTTAAAAATCCTCAGGCTCACCAAATTAACTGATTTTAATTTTTCAAAGCGGGGTCAAAATATTGCATTGTGGTCCCTAAAAGTCATGTGCAACAACATACACTCACATAATAAAAGCTTTAATGAAACACACTTAAAATATTTTTGAAAATAACCAGCAGAATTGTTGAAACTCTTGAATAAGAAATTAGTTACATACAATTTGGATTTGGAAATTATATGACCACAAGAGATGCTTTGTTCGGCTTGAATGGGCTGGCTTGGAGATGCATGGACATGAATCAAAACATGTACTTATGTTTTGTAGACTTTGAAAAGGCATTTGATAAGATGTAGCATAAAACGCTTGTAGATATTTAATATTAAAAAACATATTGACAGTTGTTTTATGAAAATGATTATGTTATGTTATGACTGACTCAGTCCTTCTCACCCAAACAAGCCTTTCAAGTATGATTCAAGTAGCCACTCCATCTCAACAGCCACCAAGATGCTCCACTTCACACACTGGTATCACAGTGTATTTTTCGTACAGATTTGCTTTATCAACAACACATTCAAAGATTCCTGAAGAGGACCAAAAGATTATAAATGGGAACTCACACATGTTCATCCTTTCGAAATAAAAATCCTTTACCTTTCCCTCACAATGAACATTGTAGTAGTAGTATTCAATAAAGGTATGTGTATACTGAAAAATGTTTGAATTTGTGAATGTGTGAAGGTATTTATTGCATGCATCCTACCTGTTCTGACATATGGTGCCCAGATGTGGATGTGTACCAAGAGCAACTTAGATAGAATAAAGAAAACTCAAAGAGCTATGGAAAGACAAATGTTGGGAATATCGTTGAGAGATAAAAAGAGGAACGAGTGGATAAGATGCAAAACCAAAACAACAGACGCTGTCGAACATGCATTGAAATTAAAATGGAAATGGGCTGGGCATAATGCAAAGCGTGGGTCCAATGTGGAAAAGACAAACAGAAGACAGAGACAAATGGAGACAAATGGGAGAGGCCTATATTCAACACATGAATATATTTTGGGCTATAGATAGATAGTAATAATGAAGGATAACAACAATGATTTGAATTTCAATATTTTAAACATATTTTTAAGTTTTTTTTTTGAAAAATTGTTTAATATAGATTTATTTATAAATTAGTATATTATAGTACAACATTTCAAGAGTATTATTTAAAATTTTGGTATAAAAATTAAGAAAATGACAGCTAATTTTCCAAAATGAAAAAAAATTACTTTGCAGTGTTCATCATAACTTATAACTGGATCATTTGATAAAAAACCAAAAATATTTCGTTAGTTTATAAGTTTCCCTAGATCACAAGTCGAGATATTGTTCATTTTATCATTTTTCAAATTTTAGAAGTAAAAGACACAAATTTTTTAATTTTTAAAAAATGTTTGTTACAATTTGACTAATTTGATCTTGTAAAATTAATTATAAGAACAAAATGGACAATATCTTGAAGTTGCTACCTAGTAATTTATCTATAAAAGAAGTGTGCAAAATTTGAGAAAGATTGGCTAAGTAGTTTTTGAAATAAAGTGAAGAAGAAAATTATTCTGAGAAAAAGTGTTAAAAAAAAGCTTATTTTTTTATACTCATCCAATATCGTTTATTCCAAGTCCATATAGCAACTTGCTTCATTCTAAAATATCTAGAGTATCTTTTTTCTCCTGCCTTCTTTTGTTGCATCTACAGCGATTTTATCTGCTCTAATAACTCAATTTTTATCTCTTCACTCACCTCACTCGCTCAACATTCACAAATAAATGACTATAACTCCGTCAATTTTGCTTCAATCGCTCTGAAATTTTAACTGGATACTCTTGAAGAGTTATTCTATCAAATACAAAAAAACACACAAAATAAAACCCTACCCCTAATGCAACAACTTGGTGAATGCTGTCATGAATAAGATGAACCTGAAGAAAACTAAATGCCTGATAAAATCCAATTAATTATTGAAGATACTGTAATTGGGAATGTGGATACCTACAAATATTAGGATTAGGAATATGGATAAGATCAAATGTAGACTAAACCAAAGAAATTATGATACTTACTTAAGTAGCACATGCATCATTCATTAAACCTGAAATGTTTGTATGTTATGGGGATATAAACTTAGAGCTAAACCTAAGGATGCTTATGTGTTACATGTTCTGTTGACTGGGAAGCATGTACTCTAAAATAAGTGCTCAAGAATAAGTTTACTGCCTTTGAATGTTGGTGTTATAGAAGGTAAAAGCAAGGGTAAAAGATCCATAGGAAAATGAAGAATTTCCTGGCTGAGAAACCTGAGAGAGTGGTACAGTTACAGCTAAGTAGATCTTTTTAGAGCAGCCACCAATAAGGTAGGGATAGCTGTGATGATAGCCAACCTCCAATAGGAGAAGGAACTACATGAAGAAGAAGTTACAGAAGAATCCCATGAATATCATGGATTCTGAAAGTGCCAAATGTGAAAGTAACTAGTAGAATAGGAAATAAAGTTGAAAATATATTAATTACTTGTCATGGGTAATCATTGTGGTATTGTCATAAATATGACATTTTACACACAATCACTGTAAATAGCTGAAAAATAGAACGCTGTGGCATCAATTTTCTGTTCTAAAATGTTTCACCACTTATTCAGGTAAAGCATAATCAAATTCTAGTTATAGACAACCTTTTTGGAGGCATTTCTACACAAATTTTTGTACTTTAACTGATTTTATGTAAAAATTGTTCAAATAAATTCAATATTGAGATTTTAATTATCAAATAAGTAGCATAAGATGAGAACATCTCTTCTATAGAAGAGTTGCAGAAAATGGACTTCCTGAAAGTAGTAAGAGACTGCTGAAGACCTACTTAAAGAAACCATAGTAAAATAGATATTAATATTGTACCAAGAGATCTAATTAAGTTGATATGCAATTGTTATACCAATCAGAATAAATAATTTTAAAAGTTTTGTTTCCGTTTATTAAATAAAAACATTAAACTCTTGAAATATTCACTACATATTGAAATAACCTTTAGCTTTAACCTAATACAGAAGCCCTGTACATTTTAAAATACTCACCCTGGAGGTTCATTTAAGTTGATTTCAAAATATTGATCAGAATTTTTCTTAATCCTTGAGAATTTTTGGGAATTGTTAAATGCCTTGTTAAACATATTTTCTTGTGGTCTTTTGCTTAAGATTTCAGTTATTTCGCTGTAAATATTAAGAAGGTTAAATAAATTAAACGCGGCTACTCAATCTCGTTATAATTGATAAAAACTAATAAAACTTACTTTTCAAAAGGACAGTTTCTTTTACTTCCATACTTGTCAAGCTTTTCCATCTTATTTCTGTAGTTCCTTTTTAAGGTCTTCCACTTGTTTTCACACTGGGCTCCTGTATAATAGTAACCCTTTCTGTTCATATCTTTCGAAACTAGCTCCCATAATTTTTTCTGTGTAGTAATTATACCAGAATCTAACATATCACATTTTTCATCATATACTTTCAATAATTCTCGTGTAGCATCATGATTCCACTCTATTCGCTGCTCCTCTAAAAAAGAAACCTGTTAATTACACCATGTCAATAAAAGTGCAGGTTTAAAAATGCTCAAACTTTTGGAACTATCTACCAGAAAAGACTTTCTGGAACAATGAAATGTACACTTACCGATCTTTCCCTTCAAATAATGTTAAACAACGTTAATATAGAACACTTCAACTAAACACAACCAAGTTTAGACATTCTGACAATACAAAAAAATAGTAAAATAAGATGACAACTTGCAAATACCTGTTATATAAATAACGTTTGAGGGACTACCCTCCAGAACTTCATTCTTCATAGTTTCCATGCAGAACTCAATTCTTTAACAAATTTAAAATTAGTTTTAATTTCGAACACTTCTGTTCTAGAGCTGAAAATGGCTCTAATTCTGTTCAAGTGGTGTATTCACTGTATTCAGTGCACAAAACGAAATCCAAATTCCAAATGAGAATCACGCGTCAAACAAATGATTCTGACATTTGACAGGTATCACAGAACACAAAGTAAATTAATGAATCTGTAGAATTGTTTCTTATTTTTAGTGGAGAAACGAGAAACAAGACTTTTTTTTTTCATCAGCCGCCACGTTTTTCGTACAGACAGAATTTATAAAGATATATTTGTTAAATAAATATTTTTTATAAGTTTATAAGCAACAAGGAATGCTTAAAAAAGAATGACATTCCATAAAAACACCGTTTCGTTTTTACTTTTCGTACAGGTACAGGTATCATAATAATAATCGAATAAAAAAATTGATTTGCTAATTTTGACACTTTATTTATTTATTTTTTTAATAACTAGAATTTCTTTGGTATTTTTTTAAGTCAGATTTCATTTCATTCAGCAGATTGATGACAGCATGATGTGCAAACGTGCCAGTGATGGTTTCATTAGTGGAGAGTAGATCTGCTGTGTCTTCTTCTTCATGTGCCTTGTCCGTTCCGAACGTTGGCAATCAACATGGCTATTCTGACTTTGTTTACGGCAGATCTGAATAGTTCAGCAGATGACAATCCGAACCATTGCCGCAAGTTTTGGAGCCACGACTGTCTTCTCCTCCCTGGACCCCTTCTGCTGTCTATTTTCCCTTGAACGATCAGCTGTAGTACTCTATATTTATTATGTCTCATAACGTGACCCAAGTATTCTAACTTTCTTTTCTTTATACTTATTCCTACCTCTCTCTCTTTACCTATCCGGCGTAGTACCTCTTCGTTGGTCACGTGCTCAGTCCAGGATATACGTAATATACGTCGGTAAGTCCACATTTCGAAGGCCTCTATTTTTTTCATCAATGTTGCGGTCATTGTCCACGCCTCCATTCCATATAACAAAACCGGGAATACAGGCCCTGATTCTATTTCATTTCGATGTCGAAATTTAAAAGCGACTACGCCATGACAGTCGCAATCGCTAGCGATTCTCATTTATTTCGATTTTAGTTAAAAGTGGGGACATTTACTTTATTATTTTGACACTGCTCAGAATTTGGGTTGGCCGTCTTGTTTATTGGCTGCACGCTTGTTAAATGTTATGTTTATATTTACGATTTTTGTTTCTTGTTTGAGTTGTTAAATTTTTAGTGGCCATTCTCAATGATTATATTTTGAATTGAAAGAAAATGGATGGAGGCTGTTGGTGATGGTGGCACTAAATTGTCTGTGGACCAAAAAGAAATTATGATGGCTTTTGACTTAGTGGTTATATTATATTTTTAAATTTACTGCAGCTTAGTATTGGTATTACTAAAAACAATACATTACCGCTCTAAAAATTCTTGATGAGTTTAAAGATTATTTTATATCTCCAAATAAGAGTGTAGAATTAAAATAAATTATTACAACCAAATTATTTATTTCTATCTTCCATTACAGCCTGTTGAATATATTCAAAAATTGTGGTTTCCAATTTAGTTTTAATATTAGGACATTTTATTTCTTTAATTTTTACACCACAGTATATTTTAAAAAATAATCAGTAGCATCTGGCTTGGGGCCCCAGGTACCGCAGTTCTATTTTTATAGGTGTTAAAATTTCGACCAATTATGTGCCGATACAATTTCTGATAAAACGCAGCCATATTAATACTTTTTGCTTCAGTTTTCGTTGCAACAATCAAACAAAACAACACCGCCTAAACTGAACCTAACCTCGCTTCTCCCAGTCCCGCTAGTCATGTCAGATTAATTTCGACTCGAAATTAAATTTCAACCACTTTCTTGAAGTTGAAATTAATTTCGATAAATCGAAATTTAGTGACGTCCTTTGGTTAGTTCAGCTGAAATCCACTAGGCTCGCAAAGTCGCATTTCGACGTCGCCATATTGATTTCAACATGTTTTCAGTCGAAATCTCAATTAGAATCAGGGCCAAGTCGAATTTTGAGAGGTAGGGTGTTCACGTGTTCAATTCTTTTTTTGCTAATATCAGTTGCTGTGTTGGTTGTTGGGTTTTGCTTACTAACATCCATTTGGTTTTTATGATATTTAGTCTGAGTCCGTATTGTGCACTTGTTTTTTGTATCTTACTCATTAGGCAACTCAGTTCCTCCATGCTACTTGTTAGAATCACAGTGTCATCAGCATACCTTATGTTATTAATTATTTCTCCATTTATCTTTATGCCTTCTGTGCTTTCCTCCAGCGCTGTCTTAAATACTTCTTCTGAGTATATATTAAAGAGAATTGGAGACAAGATACAGCCCTGTCGTACCCCTTTCTTGATCTCAATTTTATTGGTCAATGTAGATCCTACTTTCACTTTAGCTGTTTGACCCCAAAATAGAGTCGCTATTGTTCGAATGTCTCTGTAGTCGACTCCGATCTTATGGAGAACTTCAATTATCTTTTCGTGCTTTACGTTATCGAATGCTTTTGCGTTGTTCTATAAAGCATATGCTTCTATGCTTTATAGTCTATAAAGCATATGTACACGTCTTTGTTCATATATCTGCAGCGCTGGATGAGTACCTGTAGACTAAAAGTGCTTCTCTTGTCCCAAGAGAATTCCGAAACCCAAACTGCGAATCTCCAATGTTATCCTCGCATTTTTTGCTTATTCTGTTATAAATAACCTTGGTGTATGCCTTCGAAATGTGGTTAATTAGACTTATCATCCGATGTTGATCACAAGACTTTGCTGTTGGTTTTTTCGGTATGGCAACAAAAGTTGACTCTAGCCAGTCTTCAGGAAACTCCCCGCTGTTATAAATATTGTTAAAGAGTCTGTCGATTAAATCTAGAAATTGACTGTTTGTTTCGCACAGCATACTTCTCCGTATACGTTATCGTTGCCTGGTTTTTTGTTATTTTTAAGACCCTTTATAACCTTCTCCACTTCTGATTTTAGAATAGAAGGGCCAGTATCACCATTGCTCAGTGTATACCCACTAGGACGGTCATCATTAAACAGTTGTTCCACATAAGTTTCCCAGATTCTAACTATTTTGTCGGGGTCTAGTTGTAGATTTCCATTATCATTATCGCATTTATTTCGATAAAATATTGTAGCTTTTCTTTGTTGTGAGTTCCTTTATCTTCTTATGCATATTGTGATAGTCGTATACCTTTTCGCACTGTTCGATTTCTTCTCATCTCTCCGAGAACCATTTCTCTTTAGTTTTTCTTATCTCAGCTCTTATTTGTCTATGGGTTTCACGGTATTTGGCAGTATCTTTAGTTTTATATATCCGTCTCTCTTCCATCATGTCAAGGATTTCTGCAGTCATCCAGACTTTCTGCTGTGTAAAGCTCATATAATATTGGTCTTAAAACGCTGCCCTATGGAACACCAGATTTTATAGGAAAATTATTGGAATTACATTCACTCTTGTTCGGAATTCTATCTCACTCAGATACGATTTTAACAGTTTCAGGTACGTGATGGGTAAATATTTCTTGATTTTGAAAATCAGGCCTGTGTGCCAAAACTTATCAGTGGCCTGACTAACATCTAGACATCTAACATCTCACTTCGTTCGGCGCGTAATATTTGGCGCGTCAAGAAAAGTCATGCTTCTCCGCCACATAAAGTAATATACTATTATCAATCAAGACAGTCTAGAATGATCATAATGTACAATTGTTTACCTTACACAAGCACTTCCCCACTTTGTTTTTGACGAATGTACAATTGAAGATTTCTTAGCTGATCTTTTATTAATTTAGTACTGACAATGAAGATATATGGTATCCACAGAATTTGTCGAATCTTCTGCTTGGCGTGATTGTTGATCTTAAAAAAATAACACTTTAAGAATTTGAATAATCAAAACAGAAATGTGTTTACCTGCTTTATTAGTAATAATAAACTTGGATTTGCTTTTGGAATTTTTTCTTTGATTTATAATACAGTCATTCAAATTCATAGCAAATTGTGTTGTCTCTTAACAAATAAACCAAAATTTTATTTAAATTATAATAAGAGTACTTTAAATATTATTTAAAAAAAGAGTAATTTAAATTTAATTAGAGTACGTCTAGACAATTCAAAATCTAGGCACTCTAGGAATATTCATGGAATTGTATGTAGTGCCATTTTTAGCGGACTGTCATTGTAAAGATGCTTTGTGATGGTGACGTCACAGTTGATAGTAATAAATTATTCATATTTTATATACCTATTATTAATTTATTACTTTTATAAATGTTGAACAATTATTTGTTTATATTAATAATGTCATGGGATTCATAAATATAACATAATATTAAAATCATGTTTAATGAACCTGGCAACAGCGATACGTTGCTGCTAACTTCACGACTCCGTTTCCTTCCTTCATTTGGCCATGGCAGTGCCTTAATTTTTTATGTGCTGTGGTGGTGTTGTAGCTGCTGCTTGTTGTGTTAAAAGTTTTGACAAACAGTATGACGGCTATACGGTGTGTTATACATCAATGTAAAAAAATCACTGAAAAACAATAAAATGGGCTGTGAATGAACTATTTTTTGTTAAATGTGTGGTGTAAGCTTTTGTGTTTTGTCAAAATTATTTAAATATGTGTAATGTACCGCCAAAGTTTTATCAATTGTGTCGTTTATGTTTATCTCATGATAAGGATAATGCTTTATTTATCTTCGATAAGGCGGCTATGGAAAGGAATATCCTTAAGAAAATCATGACGTGTCTGTCAATTCTGGTAAGATGATTCATCTATGGCCGTGTGTTGTTATCTGATAAGAGATCTAATTAGTAACCTAGATGTCGACGATTCTTTTGTTATGATTTTAATGCTAATTTTAAATATGATAGCAGAACATCTTGCATAGATAGGACAGGGGTTATTTTGGGACATTTAACTGTAGTTAATGATATGCGGTGATATAAATATTCATTTCTTTTTGTTTGGAAAACATCTGCTTTACGTACGCGTGGGACGAGATGATGCATTGTATATTTGATTACAGCAG